GTGGGTGCACAGATGACCATGGCGACAGCAGTGATGCGGAGACGGGACACATCCCAGAGCTGCGGAGGCATGGCCCTGCACCCATAGTTCCTCTGGCCACCGTCTCGGCAGCTCTCCGCCCACTGTGTCTTCCCAGCCCACCTACAGTTCCCAGGCAGGCATCCCCCGAGGGCCACCAGACAGCTTCCCGATGCCTCAGGAGGGACCTGCAGGACCTTCGTGTATTCACACCCGCACAACCAGGGCGGACACGAGACCCCTTCCGCCTGGGGACAGTTCTGAGAGAGATTTCCAAGGCCTCTCGGGGGTCCCACAGATGGAGTGGGGCATGGGGTCTCCCTATTTCACCACCTCATCCTGGGTTCCCCTCTGCCTGCCAGCCTTTCTCATGCTCCGCATTGGGGAGCCCAGGCTAAGGCACCCCCAGCACCCCACTCCATACCCTGTCTTCGAATGGTGCCCTGATTTCCCAGGGGGAACCTGTTCTACCCCATTTTCCTTCTAGGGCTGCCAGTAGAAGTCCATCCTACAACAGAAACAGGGCGAGGGACCCGAGCCCACGGACGAAGACACCTGAACCCCTCAGTGGTCGGCTGGGGCGGGTGGGCTCTCCTGGCCAACCAGAGGGAGTCCGAGCTGCCTCGTCTGGGAACGGGACCACCCTGAGCTGAGGCCAAGGGTCCCGTCAGGCTGCCGCTCACTCACCACGCAGCCATATCACAGGAAAGCCACGTGGGCCAGAGCTCGGCCACCAGGCATGGTCTGACCCCTGTTCCATCCAACTTGTTAATTTAAATAAACATTCTTCTAAAAACTTAAACTTTATATTGCTGCCAAAAATGGACTTTCGCAGCTTGGGGGCTGGCTGAATTTTTAGTACATCGCTCAGTCGACACAGACCCATCCCAGCTGCGCGGTTTGTGCCTCCGTGATGTGGGCCGCAGCCACAGGCAGGAGGGACTGGACGACGGTGACCGTGAGCTGCTCCGTGTTTTCATCACCTGTCGCCTCCCTCCCTGGAGGGCTCCGCAGGCAGCACTGAGGCTATACCGCTACCTCGCCCAGTCCTGGTGCCCAGAGTCCCGGGGGCACAGGCCTGTTTCAGAACCACCTGGTGTGCAGCTGGGGGCGGGATGGGGGTGACAGCGGCAGCCTTTCCAGGGGAGCTGCTGCCGGAGCCCCAAGTTCTCGGGAAGTGAGCACCTGAGGGGCTGTGGCCATGGACGTGGCTTGAGGGAAGAGGACACAAGGGGAGGGGTCGGGCTCAAATCCCACCTCCAGCATGAGCTGCTGCCTTGGAGGCCATGGACCACAGGAGCCTCGGTCCCCACCTGTACAGTCCCCACCTGTATGAGAGACGTGAAGAACACCCTGGCGTAACCACGGCAACAACTCCAACACCCACACAGGTCAAGCCGCGGACCCAGCCACAGAGGCTGCATGTGGCCTCCACATTGTCACCAGGACCAGGCGTCTCTGCCGCGTCCAGTGGGGAGCAACAGAGACAAGAGGAGAGCTCAGGCATCGGTCAGATGGCCTGGGAAGACCAGCCCCTCCCCGTTGGGACAGATCCCTCAGTTCTGTGACGTGGTGATGCCAACGGTGTTCTCAGGACAGGGAGTGAATGAATTAAAACTCGGCACTGAGTGCAGCCTGGCTCAAACTAAGTGTCTAGTGGACATTGGCCGTGGTGACAGGTCAGAGGTCATGACCCGGGGGCCCCTCCAAGGGACGGGGTGGGCAGGAGAGCACGTGAGGCTCCTTCCTCCTGTGACCTGGAGCAACTCGCTCTCAATTGGGGTCCGTGCGGTGGCCATTTCTGACCCCGCTCTACAGCAGGTGTTGTGGACCCAGATCCCTTGCTTATACAGGCTACAAGAGACCCCCTCCCAGCTCAGCCCCCCCACATACAAGCAGGGCAGCCCAGCTGGCTGGCCACGGCCCCAGCACTGCGGGCATCTCCCACCTGGCTCACACCTCTGCCCAGAGAGACAGGACCCCAGACACACCTGGTCGGCCCCTTCCCGGAGAACTGGGTCCCCTCGTCCTCCGCTCAGGGTCCCTCCAAGAGGGTCAAGGGCATGCCAAGGACACAGCTCCCTGCCTTTAGAATGGGAGCGACGCCCTCAGTCCCCACCCTGGAAGCATCTGAGGGACCGAGGCTGAGTATGGGAGTCAGACCTGTGACGTGCCCTTTGCGTCCATGTGGGGCTTCTCATGCCCGACCGGAAAGCAGAGCCCAGAGACGCCTCTCAGAGCTGGTCTGAGCCTGGCCCAGGCGAAAGGACAAAACCACACAGACCCCGGCCGGCCACACCAGGGACAGCCACTCTCCCAGCTAGAACCACTCACTTGACGACAGGGACACCAAGGTCTGGATATAGAACCCAGACCTCACGACTCCTGGCGGGACCACCCGGCATGAGGCACGGACAGGTGTGACCAGGTGACCGCAGGTTTCCAGCACGTGCCCAGTGGAGGGGCCGCCGCCCAGGGCCTTGCTCCTCTGCAACGTTGGGCCCAGAAACACAAAAGACGCGCTGGGGGCCACAGGGACGTGCTTCTGCACAGGAGGCAGGAGACCCCAAGATCTGAGCCGAGGTCCCAGGTCTGGCACCTCCTCTGCACCAGTCATTCCGTGATCTTCACTCCATCCTGAGCTCTGCTCCCACTTCCCATTTTGCAGATGCTACCCTGAGGCCCAGATGAGGCCCCCGCACAGTCCACAGGGCCCGCGCGAGATGTGAAGAAGGGCCAGCCCTGAGCAGACGCCAACTTCTGGGCACACTTGGGTGCAGCCCAGGGTTCCGGGGTGGGAAGGGCCCCAGGCAGAGCAGAAATGCTGGGAACACAGGGCCAACCCACAACGAAGCCCGCAGGCGCATGGGCTCAGAAAGAATCCCGAGACAGACCACAGCCTCCACTGGGCTACAGCCCCTTGTCAGTTGGGTGTGGACGCCATTCTGGGGCAGGGTGGGTGATGCTGGGTACCACTGTAGCCCTGGCTCTCACCTGGGCACCTGTGAGCACAGGCCCTCACCTGGGCAACAAGTGAACAGGCAAATGAGGAGAACGGAGGCCCAAGTTCCCACCGCCACCAACCGCCTCTAGCAAGACCACCGGGCTCCAGGACCTGCTCTCCTCGTGGCATTCTCTCCTCCCCCAGAGCACACGAGGCTTTTCTGCTCCATCGCTTTAATGGGTAGATCATTCATCAGACTGCTTCCCGCAAGGAAAGAACACCTGAGCAGTATGCTCAGCATCTTGCAGAAACATAAATACATAAATTACAGGTTTATTCATCCGATATCAGACATGTTCACGGGCACAGCACAGCATCATAGACGGGGCAGCCCCAAGACACCCAGCATAGGACCTGGGGCAGGACCTTGGTGGGCACCTTGCACGGCGCCATTGTCCATCTGCCCAGCCGGGGGGCTCCACCCTGGGGGTCAGGCAAGAACTGGGGGATGCGGACGCCCGCATTTGCCCACACGACCTTCCCACTGACCCCAGCCTCCCTTCCTCGCGCTGAAAGGTGTCAAGCTGTGGGCCGGAAACTGCGCTGTGAAGATGGGCTGCAGAAGAAATTCCTTCAAAGGTGTCGAACTGCGGGCCAGAAACTGCACTGTGAAGATGGGCTGCAGAAGAAATTCCTTCATAAAAATCTTCCATGAACACACGAACACCCAGGATGCTCGCCGTCACTTCGGAGACACCCCGCAGGCAACAAGGGGTCTTGACGGTCACTCGAGCCTCTGGCTTTGAGGATGGGGACGGCAGGCCATGGGCAACACAGGGCCACCCATGCTACTATAAATCAACTCACTTTTAAATTAAATTCGTCCTCGTCCGCTCAGCTCCGACGGGCAGGTGGCCTCCATCTCCACAAGGCCATGCACACGAATGGCTTCTTCGGCCCATTCCTGGTAGGTTCTGGAATCCCAAGGGCAGGCCGCTTCCTGCAAGTCCTCGCCGTGGGGCTGGCCCAGAAAGCCACGCTCTCCCACATATCCCCCAGGAGAGACGGGGTCTAGACTCGGTCACACAACTAGAAAAATGTGACCACAAAAACGCTTTTCATGAGTATGGGTTTTTTTTTTTCCTTTTGGTTCAAAAAAAAACATCGCAGTCTCTCCGGTATATAAAACTGGTGATATTCGATAAAAATACAAACTTCACCTTCACAAAACAACACAACACACACGCACACACGTTTCTGTGGCACACACATGAAGCGTAACACCTTACCAAAAATAAAGAATTTAGGTTCCGTTGGAGCACCGGGGGCCTCAGGGAGCAACCTCACCGGCCGCGCGGGAAAACTCCCTCCCACAGCGAGGGCCACGGGCTCCGGGGAGGCGACTCGGGGGCGGTGTTCAATGGGCTCACGCAGTTCTCTCAAACTGGCTTAAATCAAAAAGGAAAACGAAACAGGGCGAGGGAGGAACACGAGAAGCCAGAAACATGTAGGAAAGGATGCAGAGGCGGGTATATACCATGTTTATTTTAATACAGCTCATTCGTTCGCATCTCGCTCAGGAGAGACCGTCCCACTGTCCTGACCATCACAGCAGCCTGGTGTTACCGGCGTAAATGCCATCCAAGAAAGGATTAAAAAAAAAAAAAAAAAAAAAGCTAGGCAAAGAGTAAAAAGGAAAGCTTAATAATCACTTTATGGTGTAAAAAAAAAAATCCACTTAAGGCTCTCAGGAAGGTTTCTGTATAGACTTAACACTACAGCAAGGAGATGCGGTTTCTGAGACACTCCTGGCTCCTGCGTGCCGTCGGCATCCATCCGGAGTCGTCCTGAAAGTGGGCTCCGTGTCCTCGGCAAAAGCACCTGTGACCACCCTGGACCAGACAGACGTCCAGTCCGCCGAGACGCCGGCGGCTTCCATCCCGCGGGGCGCCCTCCGCTCCGGCAACCGTTGAGATATTTTGTGAGTCAGTTTGTGTGCGCGCTCTCTCTCTCTCTCTCTCTCTTTTTTTTTGGACAAGGAAGCTTCTCATTGTTCCGCAGAGTGCTACAATACTCGCTTTGATGTCACATTAAACAAACGTATACTGTCTCTTTGTTCTCCAGGGTGCGCACGGAGACAGTTTTCACGGAGGAGAACAAAGACCGCACGCTGGCAATGAGCACCGTACATAGTAGTTCAGGAATGTAACACGCCATGTACATCCGTGTCCCGGGGAAGGGCTGCTGGCTCATCCTCACCTCACATCTGCAGGGAGAGGGGAGAGGCAGAAATGAGAGGCGGGGCCTCGAGCACGCGCACCGCACGCACCACCGTGTGGACAGCAAGCGGAGGAAAACGTTTAACCCATCCAACATGCGTGCATGTACACGCCCACACACACACATAAAGTGAGACAGATCTTAGGATTTGAGGTCTTCGTGAATTTTCTCAAATCAAATACACCTCATTACCCTTTCTGTAACATCCTGCCCAGAATTAGAACCAGGCTCTTGGGATCTCAGAGCAAGCCCCATTCTCCCATTGTACAGATGGGGGAAACTGAGGCCCAGAAACATTCTTTTGCCTTTTTCCTCACCTTCCTCTTTCTTCCAGCCTAGAGCTTGATATGATTTCTGGCGCTCTGGCAGCTACCTTGGGCCATGAGGCAAATCTGAGGATGGATGCTGCCAGGCCCTCTGACCAGGCAGATCTCCACTGAGCTCTGAGCTAAGAGCAGCTCTTCCCCATCCTACGTCACCTGTCCACTGGTCATTCCAACATTCACACCCCCACACGCCAGAGCCTGAGTCCTAGCAAGGCCTGGGGGAACAGGGATGCCTGCCTCTCACTTTGGCCCACGGGTGCCAGAGCCCAGTGGTCTGTAGACTGGATGCACAGGCAGGCACAAAACTGCCCCCTGCACCACACCCCTGGGTGTGGGATAGCAAAAGCCAAGGCTGAGCCATTGTTTTGGGGCTGCTCCAGGGACCCATCCGCATGGACCTTTCCTCCCCAGAGGATACTCTTGAGTGGACCTGACCCACGGGCCTCAAAAGCTCCTGACATGGCAGCTCTCTGCACTCACATGCTGCCCAACCAGAGCTGGGCTCTCTGAATTGTGTCTCTGAGAATTCTGCTCCCAACCATTTGTTTTGGAGGCCATGGGCTCCCACAGGCCCAGAGGCCAGGACCAGGCTGTCCAGAGCCAGAGAGGCCAACACCGAGGACCGGGACGGCTTGAAACTGCCTCCTCTGTGATGACTGTGGTTGCCCAAATCCCATTCTCTTCTAGGAAGTAGTGTGTCTCTCTAAGTCTATGCTTCCTGGGCCCCCTGGGGCTGAAGGGCAGGAGTGAGCTCAAAGCAAAAGTCACTGAGTGGGGAGGCCAGCCCGGTGGCGCAAGCAGTTAAGTGTACGCACTCCGCTGCGGCAGCCTGGTGTTCGCCAGTTCAGATCCCGGGCTCGCACCGACTCACCGCTTGGCAAGCCACACTGTGGTGGCGTCCCATATAAAGTAGAGGAAGATGGGCACAGATGTTAGCCCAGGGCCAGTCTTCCTCAGCAAAAAGAGGATTGGCAGATGTTAGTTCAGGGCCGATCTTCCTCACAAAAAAAAAAAAAACTTCACTGAGTGGGATTTCTCTACAAGGGTTCTTTCGCCCTTCTCTCCACCTGACTCCTTTTCCCAGCCTGGAGTGTAGATGTGATTTCTGGAGCTTTAGCAGCCATCTCGGGACATGTGGCAACTCTGAGGATGGACACCACCAGCCCTGGATGGAAGAGGGTCCCTGATGACACCTTGAGACTGCCACACCTGCTCTGGTCTGTGGCTTTACTTAAGTCATGAATGTCTACCTCAGTTCAACCCTTGTTTCTGAGGTGTTCCTAGCAGCCCAACACAATTTCCAAACAGCAGCCAACAGCCCTTACATTTAGAAAGCATTTTCAGATGGGATCTACTCAGCCTCCAGCAACCCTGAACTGTAATCCCTGCCAGCCTCAGTTTCTTCATCTGTCCAATGGGTGGGTAACCCGCCCGAGGTGACCCCAGCTGGAAAACGGCAGAGCCACCCCTGCTGCTCAGAAAACCCAAATCACTCCGTTCCCGTGGCCTCCACCTCCCCAGTCAGCGACAGAGACCGAAGCCAGAGCAGGCGCTCCGGGGCAGACGCGAGCCGTGGGTCAGGCTTCCCGTGGGCGGGAGGGAACGGAGCAAGGAGACCACAGCCCAGCCCAACACCGAAGCCCGCAGCGCGATCAAGGCCAATCAGGGCCGCCTCTGGCCGTGGGGGTGATTCTCTGCGTGATCGGTCATCGCGCCTCCCGCCCGCGGGGCTGCAGCCCACCGCGGGCAGCGCCTACCTGGTCAGCCGCCTTAGGTGGGTTTTAACCTCTTTCTTTTCCGTTTTTTACCTGACTCCCTGCGCCTTCCTGTTAACAGAAGGGCGGGAGCGTGAACAGCCCGAGGGAGGGCCGTCGGGTGAAACCGGGCAATAAATACCTGAGCTGTTTGTCTTTCTGAAGAAACCTCGATTAGCTGGCACAGACACACTTCCTGGTCCCCTCGCGCTGGCCCGAGGCAGCGGGTCACAACGCAGCGCTGCTCGCGGGCAAAGTCTGCCCGGCGCGGGGAGGCCAAGACCCCGACCGGCAGCGTTGCACCCCACACCCACCTGCCCAGCGGGGTGGGCCGTCCTGGGCCACTTCTCACCTCCCTACCCAAGCGCCTGCCCGCTGCGGCTTGAACCTCTCTCCCACCAGACCGTGGGCGGCAGCATCCGCCCCAGCAGGTCCCCGGGCCTAGCCAGCAGGCCGCCCACCGACCTCGCCGCAGCCCCAGACCCCACTGCCCCAGAGACCCCTCCCGGCCCCGAGCCCCGCTCACCTGTCTCCTCCTCCCGGTGGCCAGGGGTCGGGCCGGCGGCAGTGCACGTGCACTCCAGGTGCTCCTCCAGCCTCACCTGCACCTCCTTTAACTTTGGCTTCTTCCTCACGTACTCCACCTTGGCCACCTGCCCGAGAAAACAGGCCCGCGTGAACCCCGCGGCCACGCCCCGCACGGTCATGGGGCCCCACCCAGGCCGCGAGCAAGGCCCGGGCAGCCTGACCTCTGACCTCTTCCCGGTGGGAAAGGCAGCGCTTGTGTCTGGTCCCATTTTAACTTATAATGAACCCAAAAGGCTCCCCGCTGCGGAAGGAGGTCTGAGGGCCGTGCCTCCAGGCGGGAGCTCCGAGGATGGGGCGGCGAGGGGAGGCATCTGCTTCCACGTTTGGGGGTCATCGGGGCGATGGGAAGTTTTCCAAAGTGAACTGATGGTTAGAGAAGAGAGAAAGCCATGGCTGAGGAACCGGGCTGCTGCAGCTGTGCGCGACTCGTGGCATGTGACCCTGGCATCACCCTCCCTCCTGCCTGTCCTACTCAAGGCCCAAGGAGGAACACACGTGGCCCCGAGGGCCCACAGGGAGGCTGTTGGGGTCAGAACGTGGACTCCGGTCTGTTATGGACTCCAGATGAGGCCACGCTGGCCACACAAGGAATCTCTTCCCCAAAGTGGCCAGGCCAGGCCCACGGCCACCCCATAGCCTTGGTCCCAGGTGCAAGGCCTTCTTATGGCCTCCAGGCCACAGCTCTCCTTGGACCAGAGGAAGCTGGCCTTCTCAGACACGTGGGCATGGACCCCAGACCGTCCCAGAAGGAGGAGCTTGGGGGACCCAGAGCTGAGCAGTGGCTCCTCTTCAGTCACGTGAAGCCACCACTGCCGGTCCACGGGCCTCACCAGCCCGAAATCTCTGGGCACAAAACCACAGTACAGTGAACCCACCCCCACACGCACTTCCCAGGGAGGAAATGGCCGGGTCCACCCCCAAAGAGGCCCAACACTGTCCAGGGAGCAGAGAAATCAAATCCCCACGGACCTCAGGTCAGGTTCCCGGGGAGCCGGCTTATTCTGTCCCAGGGACACAGCTCCACCCTCCACACACCCACATGCAAACACACACCCTATCCTGGGAACTAACTACACACACACACACGCACATGCCTGGCATCCGTGGACACTTAACACACGACCACAGGGAGCACTGTCAGTGGCCGTATGCTGAGCTGCAGACCCACGTGCCCTCCTGCACTTCATCCGTTAATGGACGACACACTTCTCCTGTGGCCCCAATGGGCCCCTCTCCCCACACACCCGCAGCCTGTGCTGTGGTCCCTGTCGGGGAACTCGTCCCAGGCCCCATGGAGCTGGGCGCACGGCAGATGCTCCATCTGTGCCAACACTCAGGCCCGGCCCAGCCCTGTAGCCTCACCCGGGTCCTAGGTCCCGGGGACAGCCCCCAGGGATACCCACTTCACCCCCCCCGGGGGAAACTGAGGCAGAAGGGGGACAGAGCCCACCCAGGTTACACTCCGAGCACATGGAGGTGCTGGGGAAGCCTGGCTCATGGTCCAGAGCTGGGAGGGGGTGAACAAGACCCCAGGCCAAGAGCCCGAGGACAGTCGGAGGGGGAGGAAGCGGGGAGGACTGTTCTCTAAGCTCCTTTGCGGAGCAGGGGCCTGGAGTCCAGAAGCCAGAGGAACCCCAGGAAACGGGGTCAGCCCTGCACCCTGGCGTTGGGCTGCCCACCCCACGGATAAGCCAGTCCTGAGGCTCGCCCACTCCCAGCGGTGGCTGCTCGTCCAGTCCCAGCCATGGTTGCTCGGCCACATTAATGGTTAACCCACGGTGCAAAGGGTGCCGGGCGCCCGGCAGCTGTGTGAAGAGGTACGCGGCCTGGGGTGTGAGCGCAGACAGCCAGGTATGAGCTCAGAGGGGAGGGCAGAGCTGGGCCAGGTGTGAGGCCGGGCCTGGGAGGTTTCCTGGTCAAGACTCGGGAAAGAGAGGCCTCGGGCAGGAGCAGCCGCAGGAAGGGGTCTGTTCCCCAGGGCACCTGCCACTGGAGGAGACCTGAGACACGGCCACCACTCCACCTGCCGGGGGACCACGAGCCTGAGAGAGGGGCGTCCGCAGGCCGTGCAGGCAGAAAGCCTCCCCCTTCCCATCTGCAAAATGGGAACCTGGTCATACCCACCCAGTAACGGGGGCCCGGGCTCCCTCCTGCCTCTGCAGAGGCCGGCTGCCTCGTCCCCTCCCCTCCCCTGGGGCCCAAGCAGGTGGGACAGGGGCCAGCCCCACACTGGCCACAGCTCCTGGCTCTGAGCGCCCTCCACACGCCACTTCCTACCTCCCTCAGGCTCTGTTGGGGGCTGGGGCACTGGGGCACGTGGGGGTCTGCGGGGTGCAGGCCAGGCAGTTGTCCTGCTCGCGGCCCTGGCCCTCTGGACGGCACAGCCTCTTTGGTCAACAAGCCTCACCTAGTTTCCTGTGAGGACAGATACGAGGACCCGGGCTCAGGCGAGACAGCCGGACTCCTGGGCAGAGAGGGGGACTTATTGTCCACCCAGACAGCCAGCCAGCGGGGAGGTGGATGCGGCAGACACCCCGCCCCTCGTCCACGGTCCCCACGGCGCAGCGCACGCCACACTGGCCACTCCAGTCTGGAACCCACTTTCTCTTCAGACGGGCCCATTTTTATCAAAGAAAAACAAACAGCAGTCTACAATTGCACCTGCTCCTGGGTATGCGAGGATTCCGGGCTGTTCCGCCACCTCCGTCTGGCAGGAAAGTGCTGCATTTTTCCCCCCCGAAACGTGCCATGAATGTTAAATTCTCAGAAGCGTCCTCCATGCCAGCCAAGTCCACAGGACGAGACGCTCCCTCCTCAGGACCCTGTTCCCGGCGCCTCAGCCCCCAGACCCCCCTGGACACGTCCCTCCCCTCCTGCCCCGTTTGCCTCTCGGGGTGTCTGGGCTGCACCTTACGAACCAGACATTCCCACCACAGAGTCTGCCCACACCAGGAAAACCCACCCGAGATATGACCCAGTGAGGCCGTCACCCCCTCTAGACAAGAGACACCGAGCACAGGAGATAAGTGAGTCCCTGCTGCCCCCCAGTCCCCAGCTGGGCAGAGGCGTGTCTGCACGGTCCCCCCAGGTTACGGCCAACCATTCCGGAGTCCAGGCAGGGGTCACCCGCGATAAACACCAGCATTTCCTGGACCCCATGTTCCAGCCACTGACGCCACAGCCACCCTGTGAGGGCACAGTGGTGGCCCGTTTACAGATGGGGAAACTGAGGCAGCATGGACAAGCCTGCTTCTTTGCTGGAAGGAGGCCTGGACTTGGAGACAGCAGAAGCCCTGAGCTCGTCCCTCAACCAGGGTACTTCCCGAGTCAAAGAAATCCGTCCTGTGGGGCGTGGCAGCTCCAGAGCCCATATCCCGACATGTGTCCCCTCCCCAGCCCCCCACACCCATGTAGAACCGAAGCTAACGCCCGGTCATGGAGACAGACCTCAGGCCTCCTCCTCCTGCCCAGCTAGAGGCCAATGGCATGGAGAAGAGTGACCCCAGGCTCCGGGGCATGCAGCCGGATGGGCAGTGCCCCGGGGGCCGGGTCCAGCTTCCCAGACCCAAGGCGGTGGCCTCTCTGACCTGCTGGGGCTTCCCCACGCAGACAAAGGGCAGCCCTGCCCCCTGGGAGAGATTCACAGACCCCTGACACCAGACCCACACCACCAGAGCCACTGCTCTCCCCCAGGGCCCCTGAACTGGACCCCCGATGGCTGATGGGGCCCCGTTGGGACCTCCCACCCAAGGCGCCTCCTCTCAACTCAATCATAGGGCGCAGAGCCCAGCCTGGGTCCCCCAAGTGGACACACCCACATCCACCTTCCCGAAGCCTGCTCGGTGTAGCAAAGCAAAGCCGAGCCAACCCCTGGACACGGCCGCAGAGCTGGGTCCTGACCTCTGGGGACCTGGGGGGCTGACCAAGTCAGTTTACTGACCAACGCCCAAGGGTGCCCTGAAACAGAACAGGGGCCCCAAACTTCCAACGCCCACAGCTTCTCTGCAGGGAGAGGCTGCAGGGTTATGGGCAGCGAGATGGCTGTGCAGAGCCGCTCCCTCACCCTGACCCAGTGCAGGGCCAGGCAGGCGTGTGGACACCAGCAGAGTCACGGCCCCACCGTCTACACCCAATCCCACCCCTCTTCCAACCCCGACGCTTAGGTCTGGGGGCGGGTGACAGCCCGTACTGGGGGCAGAGGAAGGTCATGCTTGGCCCCCTGGAGCAGATGCCACGCTGACCACAGTGAGCCGAGCGTAGGATGTTGGCCATCAGGGCCTGTGGGGGTGCCAGGCCCCCAGCAGATGCTGCCCATCCAGCTACGCCCGAGGGTGGGTCCCAGAGGACAGAGGAGAGCCCCGCCCCGGGCCACCATCAAGGGAGGTGCCGTCCAGGCCAGGACAGGCTGGGGAGCCACACACCCCCACTGCCCAGCTACTAGGGTCCCCGACTCCCAGCACCCATCACACAGGCGCAGGGTCTGAGATTCCTCAGGGCCCGTCTCCCTGCTCTGCCTCAGCCCCAAAGGGAGTGGGAACGGCTTCCCGGCCAGGCATGGGGGGCCAGGCTGGCCTCCACAATGGGCCTCCTGTTCCCACGGACCTTTTGTCCCCTCTCTGCCAGAACCCCAGGGTCTGGGGCCGGATGTTTTCCTGCCAACCCTCTGCTGGGTGGACAGCGACAGAGAGCTGCCCTCCCCAAGGAGGAGGAGGCAAGCCCGGGTCTGAGGAGGGCGGACGCCAGACGTGGAACCAGCCGCCTGGGCTCCAGCTGCAGGACCAGGCCCCTCTGTCCCCCGGGCTGACCTCAACCCCATCCGGGCAGATGAAGGCCCCAGGGCCTGTGCCCAAGGCAGAGATGGGCCACTGCTCCCAGGAGGGGCCGTCCCACCCTCCCTCCCACGGGCCTGGCTGGAGCCTCCGGACCCCGCCCACCTGTGCAGGGTGGACCGGGGGAGAGGGTGGGGTCACTGTCCATCCCAGGACCAGATGTTCCCTGGTCCTCACACCAGGGGAAGCAGGAGTGGGAACAGCGGGGGTTCCCCAGAGACTCCATTCCAGCACCCTGTACCTCTGAGAGCCCCCAACTGGGACACTCAAGGACAGCCCTGAGTGCCCAGCGCCCATCTGTGGACCATCTCGCTTCCCCCCAACCCCCAGAGAGAAAGACCTCAGGCTCCCGGATTCCTGGGGCACATAACACCCCCCCCACACCACAAGTGGGGATATCAGACCCAGAGGAGGCAGAGGCTGCGGAGACCTTGTGGGCAGGCAGGGCAGTCTCGGTGCGAATGCACGGGGCTCGTCCCCTCGGGCCTCAGTTTCCTCCTCTGACAAAGTGGCAGGGTGGTAGGGGTGGGGTAAGTGGGGGTGCAGAGCTGGGTGCCGCACCCGGGCTGGGGGCCTGACCACGCAGAGTCTGGAGGCCCAAGTCTGGCCCCTGAGGCCCAAGCAGCCTCACACAGGAGCCAGCGCCCCAGCAGGCAGCCCGGGGAGCCGGTTCAGAGGAGTGTCCGCCCTGGAGAGACGGCGCAGTAAGCCGTGGAATTTGCTTACTCAATACGCAGAGCCGAGAGCCGAGGGCCAAGGACCAAGTCCCCGAGGTCGAGTCCAGTCCCAGCTACAGGTCTAAAGTGCTTTTCGTGTGAGCAGTGGCCCGTCCGGCCCCACGGTCCTGCAGTGAGAGTTTCCTCCCCTGCTCCCTGCTCAGGGGCCAACATGGAGTGGCCAGGAGCCACGGTGGGGCGCAGGGGATGTGGGATAATTTCTAGTCAAGAGATGACCTCGAATGCGCCCCCAGAACTGAAACTCTCATTCCAGGAGAAATGGACCTGCCTGTGATAGGAGGCCTGGTTGAGATGGGGACAGGCCCGCTCCACGTGACAGGCGTGCTGTGGACCGAGTCCACACCCCCCAGGGTCAGGTGGGACCACCCAGAGCCAGTTTCTAAGAAGGGTAGGCCTTCCCCCAAGTCAGGGAGCCCCCAGAACTCTCCAGCCTCAGCCATGTGTCGGAGAAGCCAGGAGGCACCTGGAGACCTGTCCTCCCACCACGTCTTCTGAAAACAGAAGACAGGCACCCAGACAGGGGCTGAGCCCTCAGAGGCAGGAAAATACCCCCAAGGAGGACGGCCAGCTGCCCCGCCCCAGACACGGAGTCACTGTCTTCAGACCCATGTGACAGCTGAGGTCAGAGGGGAGCAGACCCAGGCCCTGAGAGAAGCTTCCAGATCCCACTGTGTCCACCCAGAGTGACCTGAAGAAGGAGAATCTTCCCTAGGGACCGAGGCGAGAGAACAGGAGCCCCACACATATAATGTGAGCATGACCTCCTGCACCCCCAGTGCAGTCCATGGGGCTCACCCACAGCCCCTGCCTGGGAGACGGCTCTGTGGCCAGTGACCAGCTATGTGCTCGCCCCTGGGTGACCACAGGCGGGCGGCGGTGATGGCCAACCCAAGCCATCCGTCTCGAGGGTCTCCGGGCAAAGCACACCTTCCCAAAACGAGGGGAGGGCGCCTGGCCTCACAGCCCAGCCCCAGGACCTCAGCACCCACAGAAGCTTCTGGAGAACCACTCCACCAACACACACATCCCAGTGGAAGGGACGTGCCCTCCCCGATTTATTGACACGGGACAGTGGTCCACCCAGCACCCCCTTGTCTCCCACTCCAAGGGGACCCCACGCTCTGGCCATGACCACAGCCTCCACGAAAGCGCCTGCGAGAACCCACCAGGGCTGGGACAAGGGGATGCCAGGCAGCTCCCAACTGAGAGGTGGACACCATGCGAGATCCGTCGGCTAGAGAACAGCCTGTGTCAGAAGATGGCTTCCTTCGCGGCCCCTTGAAACCGCCATTTCACGCAAGAGGCGGCGTGTGGTCGTCCCCCCAAATAGCAGACGAAGACCCACATCTCGGCTCCAGCGCTGCCCACCCTGCACCCCGGGCCCCCTCCCCCTCCTGCTCCTCCCCCCCACACCCCCAGACCTCACGTCCCCATCGGGGAAAGGGGAGCCCCAGTGCTCAGCCATCACATCAGCCGTGCGGGGGCCAGGACTCACCTTGACGCTGCGGTGGTGGACACGGGAGGGCTGGCACTTGACGCTGCTGGTGTTGCAGCAGCCGGTGCAGCGCTTCACCTCCACACACGGCGGCCAGATCAGGAAGTTGGCAGACGTGGGGTCCACCTGGCTCCGAGGTATCTCGTAAATGACCGTCCTCGTCTTGCAGACCGCGGGGATGGCCTCCTCTGCAGGACAAGAGCTGCGGTGAACGCGGAGGCCACTCTCCGTCTCCCGTCAGTACCCGTGCCTCCTCTGCGACCCCCCAGGGCTGCAGCAGCTCCAAGGGGCGGGCCTGGGGAACACTGGGAGCCCAGCCCGGACGGCGGCGTCCCTACACGGCTGCTGCTTCCTCCAATGTGACATGTGTCACAAGACCTGGGCCCAGCAAAGGCAGGAAGATACCCCTGACCCCACAGGGTGCAGCTAGCATGAGCCCCAGGGCCAGGGGAGGGCATTGCTGCCAAGACTCAAGTGGGGGAGCCCGAGTCTCCTCCATCAAGGCCTAGGGAGCTGCTGGGGCTAGTGGACGATGGGGAGAAGCAGGGAAACTGAGGCCAGAAGCCCTGAGAGTAAGATGCCAGCCCCATAGCTGGGTGGACACACCAGGACACAACCCCGCCTACCGCTGCGTCCCCAGGGCCAGGCCCTGCTCTAGGCAGGGGTGAAACCCACACGAGAGCCGGTCACTACCTCCAGGGCTCAGAACCCCCGACCCCCAGGCACAGCTGTTCAGGGTCCCTACTGTCAGGGCTGGCGTGCGGTGGCTCCTGTGAAGCGAGGCAGCCACAGGAAGGCCTGCACAGTAGACACAGGACACAGGACGTGGACACAGACATGGGACAGACACAAGACACAGACACAGACAAGGACACGTACATAAGACACAGAGGTCACAGACAGGGACACAGACACAGACAAGGACATGGACACAGCCCCAACTCCCCAGCCCTGCAGGCCGGAGACCTGCACAGCGAAGGTCACCTAGAGGCCGCCCCGCCAGCCGGGAGGGCCGCCTCCAAAGAGGAACTACCTTTGTCTTCTGCTCTGCTCTCCTCAGCACAGGCCGGTCCACCCAGCCCGAAGCCCTGAACTCCACGTGGACGCCAGGGTGTGACTGACGGACGAGAAACCCACCCTGGGACGCGGGCGCATGAACTTGCTCCCCACACGCTGCCTTCCTAGGCCACGCCAGCCTCCAGGACCTGCTGGGCATTGTGCAATGGCCACCTGGCAACATCCAGCCATGGACACTGTCCAACGAGAGGCCCTGCTGCCCAGACACGCACCCAGGAAGCCCAGCCAGCAGGCTAAGGGGCCACCCACTGGGGCTGCTGCCCCAGCAACACCACGGGGCCTGCACCCCAGAGCACGGAGCTGGGGGAGCCTCCACTGGGAACAGAGGGCCCGGCACCGCCCCAACACACACGCCCGACAGCCTCTGACACACACCAAGGCTCACACAGGGCGGGGCCTTCCCTCTGCAGACGAGAGCAAGAGCCTGAAAAGAAATCTAAGGACCAGACAGTCCAGGCTTCGCCCCAAGGCCAGGGAATGGTGTCAGCCTCTCTGTCCCCTCCTGCACGTGCATGAGATGACCTCCCGAGGACCCTGAGAGACAGGCGAGCATGTGCATCCTCGGGGGCCTGGGAACACCTGGAGAAGGGGACACACTGGTCGCCCAAGAACATCTCACCAAACAACACCGGCTGGGTGCTGGACGTCTGGCCGCCCCGCGGAGGAGGGGGCTCCACTCACAGCGCCCAGCCCAGTACTGCCAGGTGGGAGGGGACTGGGGAACCTGGCCAGCGGGAGCCAGAAGGCAGAGCCAGGGAGACAAGCCCTCAGAGAAGCAGGCCAGGCCCCATAGAGGATTCTGCAGCCCTGGCCAGGGTGCTCAGCCTCTGAGATTAGTCTGAAGGACGTGAAATGTATGGCCCTGACAGCAAACCGCAACTGGGGAGGGCCCGCTCGCCCTATCTGGGAATTGTGTGCCCACATACCATGCCCAAAGGGAGCAGCTATAAAATCCATCTTCTTGGAGAAACTGAAGCTCAGACGGGGTAGTCACTCACCCCAGGTCACACAGAGAGACCCAGGCAGCTTCAAGACACAGGCGGGACCCCAGATGGCATGGGACTGGGTGGGCCACACCCCCCAGCTGCACCCCAGGGCAAGAAACCACAGGCCAGGACCTCCTCAGAGCCGAGCCTGAGGCCCGGAGACCCCACTAGCTCGTCCTTCCTCCCGGGGGTCAGACAGACATGGGGATACTCTCAAGAGGGAACAAGAATCATAACTCCCCCAACCCCGGGGCCCAGGTGGAGCCAAGGAGCTGAGTATGAGCAGCTGCGGGCAGGGGCGGGGCGTCTGCCGGCAGTCCACCAGGCGCAGCTAGTAGCCGGGAGCCCTCAGAGCTCCGCGTTATGAACTAGAAATTAAACACGACCACGCTTTCCAGCGAGGCCTCCTCGAGAGCAGGCCCCAACAAGACCGGGCACTTAAGGAATTTATGATGGCTCTCCTCTCCTGGAAACTCTTGGCCCCGGCCAGGCCTGCAGCGAGAAGCAGGCGGGCTGGGGCAGAGGAGGGGGAGGGGGGAGGCCTCCGGAGACGGCAGGCGGCCAGAGCTGAAGGCGCTGGGGCCCCTGAGCAGGCCGGCCGTGCCTTTGTTTGACGGGGGAAGGGACGGCTCCCCTGAGGCCACAGTGGGGGAGCAGCCAGCTCCCCCAGAGCCCCGCCCATGCCCCAGAACTCACCGATGCTCCTTTTCCTCCGAATGGGCACAGGCCGCTTCTCGGGTGCATGCTTGGTGGCGTGGCCCCCGTGGGCTCTCAGGCTGGTTTCCAAAGCATCCTCAGCCCCTACGGGGAGGAAGAGGAAATGGGCACCAGCCGGCCCACGCCTGCGTGGCACCCTTGGGGCCTGTCCACAGCACTGCCTACAGGTCAGCCCCACCTCCCTCCCTAACACAATAGGGTCCCCTGGGAGACCCTCCACTCCCACACGGGAGTTTCCAGCCGTGCAGAGGATGAAAGACGTTCCAAAATATCCCACCAACCCCTGTAGAGCCCAAACGGAGGTCTCTAGAACGTGGCGCCCTCGCTGCACCTCATAGCAAAGCTGCAGACCTGAAGCGAGGGGGCTGCAGGCAGGGGTCTCCCCTACGGCACCTCCTCTAAGGAAGCCAGAATGAGGAGGCCCCTGAGGCAGGCGGCGCTCTCTGTCTGTAAGACCCAGGACCAACAGGCCTGCTGCTCCCAGCCAGGCCCACCTCCCAGACAGGGCACCTCGGACAGCGGGCTGGACAGCGAGCAGACTGAAGGATGAGCAGAGGCTGTGGCTGCAGCTTTTCCGGGGCACATGCGTCCGTCTCCCTCTCTCCCTCCCGCTAAACCCACCTTTGATGGAGCAGCCTAACCTTTGAGGGGCATCAGGAGCAAGGCCAGACTGGCCGACAGCCAGAACCCACTCGTTCCTGAAGTTAGTCCACTCCGAGGGTGAGAGGCCCCGGGAAACGCAAGAGGGAAGCGTCACCTCCCATCCAGCGTACAGCGAGGGGGGAGCCACAGGACCGAGACCAGGTCCTGAGCCTGGCAAAGACAGAGACAGCTGGCAGAAAGCAGAGTGCAGCCGCTCAGGGATCTGAGAGCCGTGAGCCTGGAGGGAGGGGAGGCTTCTTGGTCACAGAGCAGCAGCCCTGAAGCTGAGATCAGAACTGGACCCTAGGCCCCCAGGCCAGCTACAGCCCCCCAGAGCACACACGTCCATCCTCTCCTTCCCCGTGCCCCAGACAGGCTAGGGAGTCCCGGCTCTCTTGGACTCCTAGAAGGAAAAGTGGCTGCCATCTGGCCCGATCAGCCCAATGGATGAAATGGGTCCCACCTGGCCTCCCCACCGTGGCCTCCAGACCAGTGGGCGGGTCTCTTCCCACTTCTCCCTTCCATCCCTGCCTCCCAGCAGATAACCAGGGCCAACAGGTCCAGAGAAGGCGCGCCCCACAGCCAGGAGCTCAGCAGCCACGCCAAGGTCCCATCTTGCCATTTGTTCTTCCTCAAGAAGCTCGAGTGGTGTCCTGGCCACCAGCCCAGCCCAGAGGCCCCTCCTCGGTGCCCGGCCCACCTAGGCCTCACCGACTGTCCACACCAACAAGTCTGAAAGCTGCACGTTGGAAACGGAAAACCACACATAAGGCGCGAACGGCGAAAGATGCGCTCCCAGAATCCCGAAGTCTGAGCAGAACCCAACTTTTCACTTAAAATGACTCAATGTTCCACTGCTACTAAGTTTTTTTTTTGAGACCCAAAATAAGATCAGAACAGAGCTACTCATGCCATAAGAATTTCCCATCAACCAACTGTTACAAGAAGCATTTTTTCACGAAAAAGTGACATTCATGAGTCATGTCCTGGTGGTGGCCATGTTGCCATCGCCAAACCCAAGAGCAGCTGGTCCATTCTCTGCTCCTAAGAGGAAACTGAACAACCACCACACCGGCTACCATTTTCCGACGCCTTACTATAGCCAGGCATTAACCGCTCCACTCGTGGCTTAATCGTATCATGTGTGCAGGAGGTGCTGAGGACACTGGGCCCAAGACATGGGTAGGCAACAAGGACAGACGGAACCCGGGAGCCCAGGCTGCCTGTCTTCCCGCCCCAGCCCCTTGCCTGGCCTAGTAAATAGAAACAACAGCCCTCCCAATTTATCAACCAAGCTGAAATCTGAAACAGCAACTTGCTTTTGAGACAAGAGATGGAGAAGAAACAGCTCCTAGACAAACAAGCCCAGCCCTTGCCCCCCGATCAAGATGGGTGGTCAGTGAACCAGGCGCGACGACGCTGATGGGGGACACGGCCACGTGATTGATGCCGGTTGAGGAGTAACCCCGTGGTGACTTACAGAGGGCGCCCTGCAGGAATCAGGCCCTAAAACTGCTCTCGGGACAGTCAGTCAAGTGGTTTCTCCTGTGTCTTTCATGCACAGATGTCCGAACACAACTCAGGATGTGAGGAGCCCTACAGCCTCAGTGCTGGTGCTGCGTTAACCCAAGGGGATATTGACATATCTGTTACTCAATGACCACAGGCGGCCCGCCAGCCTGCCAGAGAACAAAGCTCCCAGTGAATGGTTTGTTCCCATCACACCTGACAAATAGGCCCCCAACTCCATAGCGACTGATCATTAAAAGACCACATGCTGACCTCTTGACCCCAATGTCACACGTGAAAAATCAACTACCCTTTACTCTGTACACGCTCTGGGAACTGGCCGAGCTCAGAGAGGTTTCCGGTGCTGGTCTAGGAACCCTCTGCCTCTGCCTCCAGCCACACAGCCTTGGAGCTGTGAGCTTGGTTTCCTCATCTATACAACGGGGGATGCAGCCCACCCATGGGTAGGATTCAGGTTCATACACTTCAACCACAAAGCTCCACCCACTCGAGGGAGGAGCTAGTCTGTTAAAAAGTCTCCTTTTGGCTTCCTGGGGCATTAACCTGACACCCTGGAAGGGCCCACCCTGGAGTTACAAAGAGGGATGAAGGAGGGAGGAGTCAGTCACACTGGGTTCCCGGCTCTAGCCCCCTCCACACGGATTCCAGATGGGCTTCTGGCTGGACCCAGTGTGGAGTCCAGGGCCTGGAGGGCCGAGAACTGCCCCCCAGCTGTTTATAGCCTCCCCCAGCATCAACTTTTCACTTCAGGAACGACAGGAGTCGAGACAAGGCCCCTATTACAAGCCATAGAAGCAACTGGGGCGGCTCCGCTGCTCAGGTGAGAGACCGCGGGCTCCTGGTTCTCAGCCTCCATGTCTGTGAAAGGGGGCTGGATCAGGAGCAAGGAGACCCACCTTGGGGTCTGTGTCACAAAGGGTCGCCCTAGGGGCAGGGCTAGTGAGCAAGGAAGATTCCTGAGGCCCCTCCTCTGTTCTCACCCCAAAGTTTCCCAGGCAGTGGGAGTCTCGCCCCGAGAATCATATTCAGTCTCTAAAACGTCTGACAGGTGGACAGGGGGCAGGTGACCCACTCTGTACTCTCTGGGACAGGAGAGAGACGAGCCCCCCTGGTCTTTTGTAAGGGAGAATCTGAAGCTATCCCGCGAACTGGCTGGGGCATCCTTGCTCCTGTTTGGACCCTCCCAAAGAGGCTCGGGGCCCAGCAGCCCCCAGGTCAGGAATGCAGTCCACACAACCCCACAGCTGCCAGGCTGAAAGCATTAATGGGTGGGGGCTGGGGGAGGCGGGGCGGCAGAGACCAGAATAAGAATGGGACCGGCAGAAGGTGAATGGCCCATTTCCCGGTGGCATCCCAAAGCCATCCCGCAAGGAGGCCGGGCCCTTCACAGGGCTCGCTTGGGCAAACCAAAAAAAAAACCCTGGAACCTTCTGGGGGAGACAGTCTCCCCACTTTTCCAAATCCATCAGGGACCAGCACAATGCAGGCGAGTATTTGCCTCAGCAAACCCAAGTTAAAACCTTCTCCCCAGGGCTACACAGCAAGAAGCCAGATCAGAATCCCCCCCTGGCCCAACTCTGATCTCCAAGTGAAATTCTACCCCCTTCCTGATAAGGATCAGCCCAAGGATTTCCTGGGTCAAGAAACTACAGAAACCGGCGGCCTTGCTAGAAAATGGTTTTGGCATGAAATGAAAATAGTCAGACCTCTCTCTCCACCACCATAATTAGGTACAAATTTCCAAATGACTAGACCATGTGATTTTACTGAATTCCCCCTCTGCCCCCCTACTTCGCAGTAGTTTGCAGTGAGAGAAAAATCTTCATTTCACTTAAAATTCTTCCAACCAACCCCAGCCGCCTCTACTTGCTGGGTTTGACAAGTTCATCTGGGGCCTCTTTCACCATCAACAGTAAGTTTTCCATGTGAGTATTTTCCTAGTTAAATCTCACACCCGAGTTCCCACCCACCAAGATGCGGGCCAGAATCCCTCTCTTCTGAAGGGGCTCCCTCTGGCCCAACCCCCAGCGCAGCCAACCTGGGTCCCAATCACTTCTGCCCACCCCGGGGCCAGTCCAACTCCGCAACGACGCTCAAGAGCTTCCAAACTCCGATTTACAAATAAACCGTTTTCTAAAGCGGCTCGGCTCCAGGGCCCGAGGGCGAGCCCCAAAATAGTCCCCAAACAGCAGATGTGTCCAAGGCGCGCCTTTTTATTGGCTCGTGAAAAGGGAAAGGCACGGGCCTCCTGCAACCACAAAGGCCCAGCCCCGCGGCAGGAGCCGGACGAGTCCGCAGCGACGACAGAGGGGCCCGACCCGGGGGC